ATTTCATCCTTAAATTCAATTTGAGTTTTTCCAGTTGATGCGATTATGTTCATTCTTGATAAACGGTTTATCATTTTCTCAAGCTTGCTCGTAGCTGTAGCCTGGGATGTGTGCGATTTTTTCCAAGGACCAACTGGCCCTGCAAGGGCTATATGTGATTGGTTCCAAGGACCAACTGGCCCTGCATTAACTCTTGCAAGGGTTGTGTTTGATCTTGAAATTGTTGTTTGGTGTGATGTTTCTTTGAAGAGAATCCGGGCATTTCTGTGGTTGGCCAGATTTGGAAGTTTTATCATATAAACTTGAATAAGAATTACACCGAGGCCACTCCCTATGATTAGAAATGCCCGCAGAGTTCCTAGTATTCCAAATCTTGGTAACTTGTTTTTTCTTTTGTTTTTCATTTTTCTTTTGGTTTGAGATCTGAAATAAAGATGTACAACAGAATTATTTAGTGGTTCTTAGTTATTGTGAGTGGGGGCGGTCGGGTAGCCTAGTGGTTGAAGCGTTCGCTCGTCACGCCGAAGACCCGGGTTTGATTCCTGACATGGGTACAATGTGTGAAGCCCATTTCTGGTGTTCCCCGCTGTGATATTGCTGGAATAGTGCTAAAAGCGTCGTGAAACCATACTCAATCAATAAATCAATATTGTGAGTGAGTGTATTTTTTCCACTTTTTAGCAATATTTGAGCCATATGCTGGGGCAAAGCAAAAATGGACTTGACACATTATACCCATGTGGGGAATCAAACCGGGCCGAGGGAAAAATTTGACCATTTTTAACATTTTTAAAAGCCTATATCTAAAAGCCTGTTTTCTAATGAAGCTCCAGATGTTATAACTAGTATTTCAAACATTATTTCACCCACAACACTGATTTTGGATAGAACCACAAGCACATGCAATAGATTCAGAGCTTACATGCCACAAGATTTTCTTCCAACACATTTCTGACCACCGCATAACATGTATCCAGTTTATCTCGGTGTAGTTTCCATATTCAACATCTGTTTAAGCTTTAGCTGTGGTCTACACCTCGTCAATATTAGATACAATAACAAGCTCCATGAATACAGCACTTGTGAGGGAGTGTATCACCAGCATGTGATACGGACTGATAGTTCCCTGTCTGCCCTGTAATATAAATGAAATGTAGCCAACAACATATGTGTGGAGTCTTGTTGCTCGTGTTATTCCAGGACTTTTCCATGTCAGCAGAGCATGTCACGATTTCAGATTTCGGAATGTGTTTTGGTAATCATGTCTGAAGGCATGTTTCATGAAACGTTTCATGAATTTAATTTCATTTTGGACCACCCAGTATCATTTCAGTTTGTCGAAAAAACTAAAGTAGGTTTAAATTAAATTAAATTGTCTGGGTTTTTTATTCATGCATTTATAAAGAAGTTCACCCTGGTATTGGAGGCTTTATTTTGATTGGTCAGTCTGATGGGTTTTTTACATGTATCACCACATACTTCTTTTCTAACATTGCTGGTAATGAATGATTGGACTCAAATGTTTTAAAAGTACTGTGTTGTAGTTTCTTTGGTTATTTAAAAAAAGTGACACTTTTTTAACAGAAAGCCTGACAAACATTGAGTAAAAGAGTGCCTGTAAATTTAAAAAATAGTTGAGATCTGACACACTTACAAATATTTTGTTTTATGTTTATAAGTATGCTGAGAATGTGGTAATTCTTACCATAAAAAAGTTGTGTATTAAGTTGAATTCAATAACTAATAATTGTACAACGTCCTACCTCCTGCCCTTGGCCTGTCTTTCAGTCAATGGATAATTCTTAACTTCAAAAATATTATTTAATTTATGTTCAATAGCTTTTTATTGTACAGCGTCCTACCTCCTGCCCTTGGCCTGTCTTTCGGTCAATGGATAATTCTTAACTTCAAAAACATTATTAAAGTTAGGTTCAATAACTAATAATTGTACAGCGTCCTACCTCCTGCCCTTGGCCTGTCTTTCAGTCAATGTTAATCTACATCTGGTGACGGCTGATTCGGCAGCAGCTGTCTCCTAGCAGTCCCTATCACTCTGATGCAATCTACAGTCTATTAAATTTCATGTGGCATTGACAACTGTGTGCTTGTATTCCTTCATGAAGAGGTGAACTTCAGGTTAACTTTATTAACTCCAGTTTGCTTTTGGACTTGACCCACAAACCTGTTGTTACGATGCGGACAGGGATGGAATCAAATATTGTCAGGTAAACGATCTTGATACGATGTGGACAGGGATGGAATCAAATATTGTCAGGTAAACAATCATGATACGATGCGGACAGGGGTGGAAAAAAATATTGACAGGTTAAACGATCATGATACGATGCGGACAGGGATGGAATCAAATATTGTCAGGTTAAACGATCATGATACGATGGGGACAGGGATGGAATCAAATATTGTCAGGTAAACGATCTTGATATGATGCGGACAGGGATGGAATCAAATTTTGTCAGGTAAACGATCTTGATACGATGCGGACAGGGATGGAATCAAATATGGACAGGTAAACGATCTTGATACGATGCGGACAGGGATGGAATCAAATATGGACAGGTAAACGATCTTGATACGATGCTGACAGGGATGGAATCAAATATGGACAGGTAAACGATCTTGATACAATGGGGACAGGGATGGAATCATATTGTCAGGTTAAACGATCTTGATACAATGCAATATGTGAAACATGGTATGCAAATTGTACAGTTATAAATTTCTTTTAATGATCCAGATGGTGCTGGTCTATTGTAGTTGTATTTTAGGAAGTCAATTGTTCAGTCTGATACCTGCACTTTGGGCTTTTCTCACTCACTCACTCACTCACTCACTCACTCACTCACTCACTCACTCACTCACTCACTCACTCACTGTTTAATAATGTTTTGTTTAGGTTTGAAATACTATGATTTTTTACCTTTTTGATGAGGTCCCATGTTACTAATTCTACATCACAAGGGTGTGTGGGTAGACGGTGGTCCACAAGCGACTACAGCTTGATCACTGTACAGAGTTGTGTCCCTTAGGTGTGCTCGATACCTGTACAGGGTTGTGTCCCTTAGGTGTGCTCGATACCTGTACAGAGTTGTGACCCTTAGGTGTGCTCGATACCTGTACAGAGTTGTGTCCCTTAGGTGTGCTCGATACCTGTACAGAGTTTTGTCCCTTAGGTGTGCTCGATACCTGTACAGGGTTGTGTCCCTTAGGTGTGCTCGATACCTGTACAGAGTTGTGACCCTTAGGTGTGCTCGATACCTGTACAGAGTTGTGTCCCTTAGGTGTGCTCGATACCTGTACAGGGTTGTGTCCCTTAGGTGTGCTAGATACCAAGCTCCTCACAGTGATAGTCCGTTCGAGGAGCTCTCTATACTATCGCTGCCACCAGTCAAACTCCCCACTGTGATAGGTGGCCCCCACCATGCTTGGAGTTGAACTCGCAACCAAATGACCGTTATGTCACAAACATGTCATGTTTGGTAGTGAGGTGGGTGTTTGGTAGTGAGGTGGGGTGTTTGGTAGTGAGGTGGGGTGTTTGGTAGTGAGATGGATGTTTGGTAGTGAGAATGATGTTTGGTAGTGAGGTGGGTGTTTGGTAGTGAGGTGGGTGTTTGGTAGTGAGGTGGATGTTTGGTAGTGAGATGGATGTTTGTTAGTGAGGTGGGTGTTTGGTAGTGAGGTGGAAGTTTGGTAGTGAGAAGGATGTTTGGTAGTGAGGTGGGTGTTTGTTAGTGAGATGGATGTTTGGTAGTGAGGTGTGTGTTTGGTAGTGAAGTGGGGTGTTTGGTAGTGAGGTGGGTGTTTGGTAGTGAGATGGATGTTTGGTAGTGAGGTGGGTGTTTGGTAGTGAGGTGGGTGTTTGGTAGTGAGGTGGATGTTTGGTAGTGAGGTGGGTGTTTGGTAGTGAGGTGGGTGTTTGGTAGTGAGGTGGATGTTTGGTAGTGAGGTGGGTCTTTGATAACAATCATTTACACCAATATTGGCAGTGATAAAGAATTGGGCTTTTTCCTCCTGTCATGCTTCAGGTATGCAGCAGGAATCAAATATCTCCCTACTCTGAACATTACTGAGTAGCCCTAAAGTTCCTCCATAATCTGCCATTCCGGGGTAGAATAGGTCTTCAGCAACCCATGCTTGCCGTAAAAGGCAACTATACTTGTGTAAGAGGCAACAAACGGGATCGGGTGGTCAGGCTCACTGACTTGGTTGATCCATGTCATCGATCCCAATTGCGTGGATCGATGCTCATGATATTAATCACTGGATTGTCTGGTCCAGACTCGATTATTTACAGACCGCCGTCATATAGCTGGAATATTGCTGAGTGCGGCGTAAAACAACAAACCAACCAACTATAATCTGCCCAGGCTGTTGCTCTCAGAACCTCTCCATTGTCAAGGCAGGCTTTTCAAGGTCCCGCCTTCTTGCCTTCCGGACATGATGAGAGGGGGGACTTAGCCAAGTAAACTCTATGGTATTTTAATGTAATAGGGAGAAATGCTGATGTAGTGTCTGTTGCTTTGTAGAGTTGGTTGATAAGACAAACTGATTGTGTGAAGTATTGGTGATTGACATTGGTGATGGACATTGACAGCTCAATACAATGATTTTACAGTCTCTTCAAACACTTTGTTGAATCCTACCCAAACCAAAGAGGATGTGAATGAAACACTTGGGCAAATTGAACAAACAAGAGCAACAAGTTTGAATAAGGTTTGCTGGATCTATCTAAATTTGGTTCTGCAGATTTATACTAGGATGCAGTTGAATGGATGAAAAGGGGGTCGCTGGGGAGTGCAGGGAGAAGAATTATAACAAGCTTCATGTCTTTTAATAATAATTTGATATCTTAACTTTTCAGGGTATTTGTTTGTTTCTGGTTAGTCCCTCATGTGAGGTTGTGTTTGTTTCTGGTTAGTCGCTCAAGTGCAGATGTGTTTGTTTCTAGTTAGTCCCTCAAGTGCAGATGTGTTTGTTTCCAGGTTACAGAAGCTGGAGAAGCGGGTGTTTGTGGACAACGGCGACATCCCCTCCATCGTCCACGACATGAAGGAGAAGGTGGAAGACTTTAAGGAAAAGCTAGAGGTATGTCCAGATCAGAAGTGCCACCAACAGTCAAGGTTGTGTGGTGGCCCTTTGATCGATGTGTTTGCCTCTCAGGGTTAAGGCCAGGTTTAATCCCAACATGGCTGTGAATCACTCTCCCAAGATGTGTTTCTCATGTGACATTGCTGGATGAAATATAACCTTCATTTCTATATGGCAGAAGTGGCCCAGTGGTCAGGCACTACAACTCCATGTGCAGAGTTGTGACCCTTAGCTGCAGATGTCCGCTGGGCATGGGTTCGAATCCCACATTCACTGTGATTATGATCCTTGGTTCATCAGCATCTTACCCGTGGAAGGCCAAGGGTGTCGCAGTCATCTGATATGCTGCAAATCGATGAGTAGAGTTGCATCCCTTACATTTGCCTGGAAATTGTAATTGTGAATCCCGGTTCGCCCCGATTATGTTTCCAGGTTTGTCAGCACCGTACCCGTGCTCATGGATTTCATCAAAGTTATAAACGTTTGAGATCTGCAAAACTTCGGGCTTTCCTCCCACATTAAGCTGACACGTCGCGATATAACTGGAATACTGTTAAAAGCGGCGTTAAACCCAACTCACTCACTATAATATCGGCATTTGTCCACTTAGAGTTACTAAGCAGCCATACACACACACACACACACACACACACACACACACACACACACACACACACACACACACACACACACACATACACACACACACACACACACACATATGTGCATGTACATAGCTATTTAAGTTCAATAATCTTAAATGAAATACTGTTCAAAGCGGCGTTAAACCCAACTGAACTGTGGTCATCATTTTGACCCAAGTAGTCGATATCTACCAACTATGTCCATATGGACCTCACTCCACTGTGATAAACAGCAGAAATACCAAATTCATGCAAAGGATGCAAAGCTAAATAACAAATATAAAAAAGGTAACATTTACATTGACGTTTAAGATTGCGTTGTGGGGCGGGCCCTAGGGATCTTATTACAGTGTATACGGTACAAAGTGATCAGAGGACTGGACAGGGGAAGGCCTGACTTGGTCCTGTGTGGCTTAACATGATTTGGGGGCACAGGTGGCCCAGTCGTCTAAGGCGCCACGATTCACTGTGCAGAGTTGCGTCCCTTGGCCACGCCAGAAACCTATGATTGTGGGTTCGAATCCCGGTTCGCCCCAATTATGTTTCTAGGTTTGTCAGCACCATACCCCTGCTCGTGGGTTTCACCGAATTGGTAAACATCTAAGACCTGCATCACTTCGGGCTTTCCTCCCACATTAAGCTGACATGCCGCGATATAACTGGAATACTGTTAAAAGCGGCGTTAAACCAAACTCACTCACTCACTCACTCACTCACTCACTCACTTAACATGATTTCTCTTTGTTTCAGGGTGTTGAACATTTAAGCTGGTTAGGTCTGTTCAAGGATATCTCAAGTGGGACGTCATTACAGCCATTTTGGGACAAACAGAAATCTCTCAAAAAGAGTGAGCAGCATAACCAACGGGTTTTTGAAAAGTTTATGAAAATGAGGTGAGACTGTTTCTTGAAACCATCATATTAATCATAAATATGTGCTGTGCTTACCTTGGCTGTGGCCAATGATAAAGTTAGGGACCTTGGCGTGATGAGAGAACGATGTACTTTATCGTACTTTCTTGTCAGAATGATGATTTGTTTCCAATGTTATTTGTTCTTCAAAAACAAAGTCATTTTTGTGAATTATTTACATGTGAAATGCACTCAAGATGTAGGCGCAGGGATTCTATAAGGAGATATACATAGTATATTTAAGTGTTGAGCTACTTAACCTGTTGGTTTGATGGTACTTGATTGAATATAGGACCAAATGTAGAGCTGAGACGCAATGGGAATTTGGGAATTTAACTTTTTCAAAGACTTAATGCTAGCTCTTGAAATTCCTGGATAAATGAATGGGAAAATAATATGTTTTTGAAGACTGTTAATTCTGTCGGCTGCAAGATGATGACAAACGATAGCTAAGATGTTAGAAAATCACTAAAACATCTGACTGTGTGTTGTTGGCAGTCAAGTCCAGATGACAGATGAAGTGCGGGACTATTTACGGAAGCCTACGTTCGACAACTGGCAGTGGGACGACTCTGAAATGCTCATTCTTCTCCGGCAAATGTACATAGATCTCGGCTTTGTCACAAAGTTCAATATCGAAGTAAGTCACTGCTATTGCTTCCGACTTCCGTATTAAACCACATTCAGCCAACTGATCAGTGTATGTTACACAATGTAAAGGTATGTTACACAATGTAAAGGTATGTTACACAATGTAAAGGTATGTTACACAATGTAAAGGTATGTTACACAATGTGAAGGTATGTTACACAATGCAATGGTATGTTACACAATGTAAAGGTATGTTACACAATGTAAAGGTATGTCACACAGTGGAGGTATGTTACACAATGTAAAGGTATGTTACACAATGTAAAGGTATGTCACACAGTGGAGGTATGTTACACAATGTAAAGGTATGTTACACAATGCAATGGTATGTTACACAATGTAAAGGTATGTTACACAATGTAAAGGTATGTTACACAATGTAAAGGTATGTTACACAATGTAAAGGTATGTTACACAATGTAAAGGTATGTTACACAATGTAAAGGTATGTTACACAATGTAAAGGTATGTCACACAGTGGAGGTATGTTACACAATGTAAAGGTATGTTACACAATGTAAAGGTATGTTACACAATGTAAAGGTATGTTACACAATGTAAAGGTATGTTACACAATGTAAAGGTATGTTACACAATGTAAAGGTATGTTGTAATTGTATCATGATGTTACATATTGTAGGTTCCTGCATGTTACATGATGTGATGTTACAGGTGCATGTTACATGATGTGATGCTACAGGTGCATGTGACATGATGTGATGCTACAGGTGCATGTGACATGATGTGATGCTACAGGTGCATGTTACATGATGTGATGCTACAGGTGCATGTTACATGATGTGATGTTACAGGTGCATGTTACATGATGTGATGCTACAGGTGCATGTGACATGATGTGATGCTACAGGTGCATGTTACATGATGTGATGCTACAGGTGCATGTTACATGATGTGATGCTACAGGTGCATGTTACATGATGTGATGTTACAGGTGCATGTTACATGATGTGATGTTACAGGTGCATGTTACATGATGTGATGCTACAGGTGCATGTTACATGATGTGATGCTACAGGTGCATGTTACATGATGTGATGTTACAGGTGCATGTTACATGATGTGATGTTACAGGTGCATGTTACATGATGTGATGCTACAGGTGCATGTTACATGATGTGATGCTACAGGTGCATGTAACATGATGTGATGCTACAGGTGCATGTGACATGATGTGATGTTACAGGTGCATGTTACATGATGTGATGCTACAGGTGCATGTAACATGATGTGATGCTACAGGTGCATGTTACATGATGTGATGTTACAGGTGCATGTAACATATGATGTTACATGATGTGATGCTACAGGTGCATGTTACATGATGTGATGCTACAGGTGCATGTTACATGATGTGATGCTACAGGTGCATGTTTCATGGCACTGTTGTCTGTTACAGATGCCGGTGTTACATCAGTGGTTGTATGAGATCTACAAGAACTACAATCAAGTGCCTTTCCATAACTTCAAACATTGTTTCATGGTTGCACAAATGGTAAGTCCATGCTGATAGGGGGTGGTGGGGTAGCCTAGTGGTAAAAGCGGTTGCTTGTCTGAAGACCTGGGTTCAATTCCCCACATGGGTAAATTGTGTGAAGGCATTTCTGGTGTCCCCCTGCCACGATGTTGCTGGAATATTGCTGAAAGTGGCGTAATGGTACTCACTTATTCCCATACTGGCAGCTGCACAGTTTTAGGTGTATCAACTGACATGTTCTGAATTTCAGACGAGTGTATGGCTGACGCACGGTCCTATGTTTCAGATGTATGGCCTCACGTGGCTCATCGATTTGCCGTCCATGTTAGACGATGTCGACATACTCACACTCATCACATCCGCCATCTGTCACGACCTTGACCACCCGGGCTATAACAATGCATATCAGGTAGGTGAAAAACTGCCTTGCATATTTAGCTGGAGCAATGAGATATAGTAGCATCGCATGAAATATGCCCTGCATCTGGTAATTCCAACTAAGTACCTGCCATGAGTCAGTCATATACACTAAAGTTCATCAACCTGATTATTTGTTTGGTTGGAGATTTATAACGGATGAACCATTGTTGGAACACCAAGAAAATGTTCATTATATTCAATCGCAAAATCTGACAAAATCACTTCACATGGAGTTGTAGGGTGTGTTTTTTCCTGTAGGGATCAAATTTTGAAATTGTGTTTTCTTATGTATCTATATTACCTTAAGGATTTTAGTTTCAAATAACATGCTTTACATTCAGGGGAGTAAAGAGCTCTGTTTGAAGGTGTTGAGCTGTAAATATGGCCACATAAAAGTGTATTGGATAGATTTAGCAACAAATCATGCTCTTTCATGATCGGTGATGTTTTGTTTGCAGATAAATGCTCGCACGGAGCTGGCGCTGCGGTATAATGACATCTCTCCCCTAGAGAACCACCATTGTGCAGAAGCATTTAAAATACTGGAGAAGAAGCAGTGTAACATCCTACGTAATCTTCCCCGGGATGAGTACCGCCGGGTTCGGGAGGGCATGATCAAGTACGTATAGCCACAGTTGTCTCCGGGGGCACGGGTGGCCCAGTCGTCTAAGGCGCCGCAATTCACTGTGCAGAGTTGCAGCCCTTGGGCACGCCAGAAACCTATGATTGTGGGTTCCAATCCCGGTTCGCCCTGATTATGTTTCTAGGTTTGTCAGCACCATACCCGTGCTCGTGGGTTTCACCGAAGTTGTAAAGGTCTGAGACCTGCATCACTTCGGGCTTTCCTCCCACATTAAGCTGACACGCCATGATATTACTGCAATATTGTTCAAAGCGGCGTTAAACCCAACTCACTCACAGTTGTCTCCCTTGTCATGCACCTCGTAAAGACAGAAGATTTTGTTATTTGTCTAGGACTGGTACTGAAGGACTGATGCATGGTCGGAATAAAATCCGAACCTCATAGACTTGTAGCGTGACCATGAACTTCTAGATCATTCTTGTCATTAGACAATATATCACGTGACTCATTGAACCATGGGTCCGGGTAGTCCTGTGGGTGCCCGAGTCCTACTCAGTCGCCAACCTACCCAAGTATCTGACTTTCCCACCCCAGCCCTAATGTACGTATGTAACAAACTCTAAACTGCAAACTAATGTATACAGTAAACTGATGATTGATCGACAACCCAAATACTTCTAATTAGTAAGTGTTGAGCAAATTGAGAAATGTCACTCAATGTAATTCGTGTCACTGACAATTTGTTTAACTCAGTCAGTGATGAATCAACACAATACGCGGAGACGATTGAACCTTGTTAAACTTGCATTATGTTTATCTTCCCTGTCCTTGGACTAAGCTTGTTTGGTAATCATATGAATGCTGCAATTATTGTGTTTTCTTTCATCCATGTTTCCGAGAGAAAACCTACAGAATGTCATGTTTTTGACAATTCAGATTTAAACAAGATAGTGAAATACATTTTTAAATAATCTTTTTTTTTCTTTTTTTTTTAATTATGTGGATGAAGGATGTTTCCGGCTCAAATGAACATTTCATGTTTCAGGTGTATATTAGCAACAGACATGGCAAAGCACAATGAGATTCTACACTCATTCAAATCGATCGTATCTACGTTTGACTTTACCGACAAAGAACATAGATCTGTGGTATGTATGAAGCAAAAATATAATATTTTTACATAAATCAAAAATATAAGAACACAATGTGTAAACATTTTTAGTTGGATTTTTTTAGTTTTTGTATTAATCATCTTTATTTGAAACGCCATGTTTTTCTAGTTTTCTTAAAAATAGGTTAATTGAAACTAAAAGAGGTAAGGTTCTCTCGATATTTGTTTTTGGAATGTACACAATGCTTTGTGATCAGTGCAGTACCAGATTTTAAGAATTATTCAATCTCTTCTAAGACTTTCTTGAAAGAATGTTTTGTGACTTAATAAATTACATGCTGTTGCCATGGTTACACTGACCTTGTATTCTCAGGCTATGTTGATGGAGAAGATGCCCTGATTATTTATCTGCAGAACAACAATATATCTTCACATATATCTTCACCACAGCAGCTATTATTGCTGTGGCTAAAAAACTGGCTCCTCAGACAGGGGTCCATATACACAAAAAATCTGAAGAAAACATTTTTTTCTGTATATGAATTTAAAAATATTTTACATTTCCCTCAACACTTCATTTCCAACTTTGCCAAATACAAAAAGAAATTTCCCACTGAAGTTATTACCTGCCTGAGTGTCATTGTTTTTTACCCTCATCAAATGAATTTTAAGACCAATAATGTTTTGTATACTTTTCCCAAATGCTACTCTCAGCTGATGATGATACTGATGAAAGTATCGGATATTTCTAACGAAGCTCGGCCGCTAGATGTCGCTGCACCATGGGTGGATTGTTTACTGCAAGAATTCTTTAATCAGGTTTGCAGACCGTGATGGACCCAATGTTTCTGTTTTGTCAACTTTCAGCTTCCACCGTGGTGCCTGCTGGTTTCTGATTATTTCCATGCATGACTTTTGTATCCATCTGCATAGGGGCTTGTGATAGCAGAAATAATTGTCAAGTGGAACCTTTTGACATAAGAATATTATTTTGTGGTATTTATTTTAGTGATAACTGAGCACATAATTTCATAAAATATCTCAAAAATTTTCATGATCCCTAACTTCATTGTTCAGCATAGCTGGAATAATGCTGATTGTGGTGAAAAAAAATCACCCACTCTAAGACTTTTTCCAAATTCTTTTTCCTGAAATGAAATTTGTGGAAAAGTAAGCTGTCAAGCATCCTGTGCAGAATTTTGATGGTGTCTTTTTCTGTCATCAGTATTCACTATTCACGATGTGGTTACATGTATTCAGATGTGAAATATTGTTTTGTCATTTAGTACATCTAACATTTCCTGGAAGGGATTTGACCTTTTTTTTATGTAAAACAGGTTAAGGGAGCGTTGCCTCCTATACCATAAGTTCCCAATTATTGATGACCCGTGAAGCTCCGGGATAGAATAGATCTTCAGCAACCCATGCTTGCCGTAAAAGGCGACTATGCTTGTCGTAAAAGGCGACTAACGGGATCAGGTGGTCAGGCTCGCTGACTTGGTTGATGCATGACATCGGTCCCAATTGTATGGATCGATGCTCATGATATCAATCACTGGATTGTCTGGTCCAGTCTCGATTATTTACAGACCACCGTCATATAGCTGGAATATTGCTGAGTGCAGTGTTAAACAACAAACCAACTAACCAACAAACCAACAAACCAATCATTGACAGATTCTGACTGTCTTCCTCACAGGTCTTTTAAGAGATTCTGAATTTATTTCAAGAATTGAGGTTACATTGGTTTGTTTGTTTGTTGTTTAACTTCGCATACAGCAATTTTACAGCTATTTGACAGCAGTCTGAAAATAATTAAATATGGACCAAACAATCCAGTGACTGACATCATGAGCATCAATCTATGCAATTGAGATACAATGACATGCATCCACCAAGTCAGAGTCTGACCACCTGATCCCATTAGTCACCTCTTACGACAGACATGGGTTGCTGAAGATGAATTCTAATCTCCATCTTCACAGGGGGGCTAGAGTTAGAGGTCATGATAGTTGTGAAGATTAAAACAGCCCCAAAACACTATTGTAATTGTAAATAGGGTTTAGATTTTCTTTCAGAAGTTTAACATCATAAAACGATCTTAAAATATTGCCGGGTGTAAAATAGACGTTAACTGTTTATCATTAAAGTTGAGAAAAATCAATCAACCGACTAATCCTAGTCCAAATTTCCAAATTAAATATTTCAACATTATGACAAAATAACGAACCTCATTCAAAAAACATTTACATTTGTAAATATTCATTTTTCACTTTGGAAATTTAATAATTTTTTCTGGAATACATATAGAAATATTCATGTTCTGTTTCAAATTACATTAAGTTAATCATTAAGGTTGACATGTGGTTAAAAATTTAAAAGACGAAGACAGAAATAAGTAATAAATGTGTTTAGGCCAAGTGCTTCCCTTTTTCTGTGGAATGTTCAGGGACCGTGACAGACAATTAAAGGCCAGGGGAGAGGTGGACTGGTATTACAATTGAAGGTCTATCAGTGAGTGAGTGAGTGTGGTTTTACGCCGCTTTTAGCAATATTCAAGCAATATCACGGCGGGGGACACCAGAAATGGGCTTCACACATTGTACCCATGTCGGGAATCGAACCCGGGTAATCGGCGTGACGAGCGAACGCTTTAACCACTAGGCTACCCGACTGCCCCTAAAGGTCTATCAGACAAAACTGATTACTTGTTATAAGACACAATTATTCAAAGGAACATTATTTATTAAGTGTTTATTCGTAGTGAGAACATAATACAGGATTTCCTCACATGACTTCTTTGTTAGTGCCGACCAATTTAATTTCTTGTTTTATGAACTTTCTTTGTCAGTATGCTGAAAATTAAAAACTTTTTTCATTAAAGTATATTTTCTGAAACAGCATTTAAACTTTTTTTTACTTTCAAATTTAAGAGTAGGTTTGTGAGTAAAATAAGAATTTAGATTTGTCTGGCCTTGTTTTTCTTTTTCAATTCTATTTTACAGTACAGCATGCTTGTTATTCCCATGTGTTCAAAAGTGTTCTCTCATTTCTATTTTATGCTTGCACTGAATGTATTTCTACATCTGTTGTATTACATTTGCCAAAAGGGCCATTAAATTTTGAGTTCAAGAACATTTTTGAGGTCGTATAAGAGTAGGTTTTGGCCTATTTTGCAGAATTGCAGGAATATGACTGGGAGTCTGGGACACAAAGAATTGGCTTCACAAATTGTGCCAGTCCAATTTTGCAGGTTCTACCGGGTACCCATCTGCAGCTTAGTAAACTGACATTGTTTACCTGTTAAAGGTCTTCACATGATAGTTGAATCAAACCCAGGTCCTTCCTATTCTAGACCGCCTCCGTGGTCTAGTGGTAGAGTGTCCGCCCGGAGAGCGGAAGGTCCGGGGTTTCGATCCCCGACCGCGTCATACCAAACGACGTTAAAAGATGGTACTTGTTGTTACCCTGTCTGGCACTCGGCATAAAGGGGCTAAAACAAGGACTGGTCGGCTCGGAGTCAGTATACTGTGTCTGAGTGGGGTATTCATGTTAAACTGTGGCATGGTATCTCAGTGAGCTAGCACTATAAATCGGCATCAGTCTGGATTAGTACAAGCAGCCACATAAACACACACACGTACATGCACGTCGCTATATAAGTGCAATAATCTTGGACGCGACGTTACCTCACCTTCCCATTCTACAGCATTGTAGATTGACATACTTAAGTATTGTCGACTATGAAAATTCCACTCTCTTGCTCCTCAATTAACAGGAAAAAAAGTACAGACATACAGAAGTGTTTTTCATACTTGAGTAAAGAGAACTTTGAACTCAAGAATTAATGGCTCTTTGGGCAATATTGGTGTCCGTATGTTTCCATTCTTTGTGTGTTCTGTTTTCACTTTTGAGTTTTATTTATTTTTCTGTTTTTTGTCCTTACCTCTCAGCTGTTGATGATTTTAATAAAAGTGGCTGACATTTCCAATGAAGTAAGACCCATGGAAGTTGCTGAACCATGGTTGGATTGTTTGTTACAAGAATTTTTCAATCAGGTAAATTCAGTAATCTTAAGAATATAAAATGATTTTTATTATGCTCTATTAATTATCAATGTCATAGAGAAGATAGATTTGTGTACAAAAATATATGATTCAGAATATATAAATTGATTCTTTTTCTTCATTCCCTCAGCAAATGTTAAGGACGCGGTTCAAAAGTGTGGTGTCGGATAAGGAACCTGTTAATTCTTAGTGTATTTAGACCCCCCGCCTAAAAGAATTTTGTTATTCATTTTTGAAAATCTAGCACAACAAAAGTTGTGAATCAACAAAGGTGTTTGATCTGGCACAAGCTTACTTGTATTTCTTATTGTTTCACCTGTGATGGTGATGCTGTTAGTTCCCAGACCGCCTCCGTGGTCTAGTGGTGGAGCATCCACCCGGAGAGCGGAAGGTCCGAAGGTCTGCGGCATGCTATCTCAGCAGGCTAACTCTATAATTTTGAGGGGCATGGATGGCCTAGTCATCTAGAAACCTATGATTGTGGGTTCAAATCCTGGTTCGCCCCGATTATGTTTCTAGGTTTGTCAGCACCATACCATTCATCGAAGTGGTAAACGTCTGAGATCTGCAAAACTTAAGGCTTTCCTCCCACATTAAGCTGACACGCCGCGATATAACTGGAATACTGTTAAAAGCGGCATTAAACCCAACTCACTCACTATAATATTGGCATTTGTCCGAACTAGTACAAGCAGCCACACACATACACGCACACGCACACGCACACACACACACACACACACACACACACACACACATACGTAGCTATTAAAGTGCAATAATCTTAGATGCGACATCAAACCCCATTTCACATAATCTAACCCGTTATTTCCCGAGTAAATATGTAATTGGAGCTGTCATTTATTGACTTGAACAGTAAAAAAAACAGGAATCTCTGACAGAATTTACAATTGAATCTGACATCCAACTTTTGAGATGCTCTCTTGTGGTCCTGAAAGTGAGGTGAGTTTTATTCCGATTGGTGAAACCTATGATAATTAGTCAATATTCTTGTTCTTATTTTCATGGTTGAAATGGATTCTTTTCAGAGTGACCTCGAGAAGTTAGAGGGCTTACCTGTTGCACCGTTCATGGACCGTGACAAGGTCACAAAGCCATCGTCTCAAGTTGGTTTTATCAAGTTTGTGTTGCTGCCGTTGTTTGAAGCTCTTGGGAGCCTCTTCCCCAAAGTGGAGGTAACAGTTTTTTTATTTACAAAAAGTTTAGGGTCAGTTTTTGTTCATGGTAAATATTTGACAAGGAAGGAAAATAGTGATTTTGTTTTTCTCAACACATAGCCTATGCAATTTATGATCATTTGGCTATGATACCAACTATTTAATATTTCAATTATTTTTGTGGCTGCGGTTGGGGAGGGAAGGAAGGAGAAAGGATGTTTGTTTTTCGGTCACTGCTTGGAGATTTACAAGTTTTTATTTGAAAGGTTGAGCGAAACATTTTTTTTATTGGGATGTCGCGCAAACAACAAACCTGAGGCTTCAATTCTTATTCCCAGTCTTTTCTGCAATAAGTTTATTTTTCCAAGAAATCCCAGCCAACCTTCCATAGTTCCACCATGACTTTGGAAGGTCCTTGATTCTGATTGGTCAGTCAGAGGTTTGAAATCAACATATCCACCTCTGATTGAAACAGTTCAAAGTACTTCTGTCTGTATCATTATCAGTAGGCATTTTGAAATAATGATATGTCTCATTGTTGCTTACAAAGAGTTGTAGTTCCAACAAAATTCAAAGGATGTGTGGCAATATGTATTTGTACAGAAAATACGATAGAATTGTCCAGGAGACTGTAGGTCAAATCTTAAGGAAAATTTTGAACATTAATTCAATTTAACATTGTCAGATGTGATAGCTCTTCATTGAAAACACAGTATGCTTTTCTTCTAAGTCACTCCTTGCGGCTTTCCTCCTACATCAAGGTGACACACCGTGATATAACTGGAATAGTGTTTAAAGTGGTGTTGAATCCATCTCACTCACTCCAAACTAACTGGTTTAAATTAAAGCCAGTTCTTGATCCTGCCTGGTACTGGTTCAATCTCATTAAAATCAGACCTTAGTTCTCGCTCCCGCTAAACAAAGATCTGAAGACATCCCATTAGGGCTCATGTCAGAACGACCTTTCATCTGACCAATGAGAGCGTCGCTTACCAGATCATGAAAGTGACAGTCGGAATGTGATTTCTAATCATACAACCTCGAAAACTTTAACACAGGGTATTCCGAACGATAGTTACAGGTTTAACGACTGAATCCATACAATCTAGACCATCTATTAGCCATTCCAGAATGTTCTTTTGTTTAGGTTTCAAATTTGTAATCGAGAATTTGTCAAAATATGTTTCGAAGCGTAGACGCTAACTTGAAATTAGTGCCGTAAAGCACGAGAAAGCTGCCTTCTGATTGGTCATTCTATTGGTCGGTCAAAGTTTGCGCAAGGTCGGTCTGACGTGACCCGTAATGGGATGTCCTCAGATCTTTGTTTAGCCATAGCGAGAACCAATGTCTGATTTTAATGAGATTGGGTACTGGTTTCAAAATACAGCTTAAGGTGACAACCAACCTCACTCTATGATTATCACTTTGCTTAGGTTTCATCCCTTTGAAAATTGTTGTCAATACACTTGCAGCCCGAAATCATCGAGCCAGTACGGAAAGCCCTGGAGTACTACACAGACATGCAGAAAGCCTTGGAAGAAGAAAAGAAGAAAAAGGAAGGCACACATGGACTCACAAAACAAAATGGCATCACACCTGCTCAAGTCAGTAAAGGGAAGCTGCAAACATAGTACAAGCTGGAAATAGGACTAACCACTCAAGACCGGAAGCAGATGGTAGAGGAAGGGAGGTAACTCCCATTTCAATAATTCAAGGGACATAACTCCACACTTCTGAGGTGCTGCATATATTGGACCCAGTGTTGAAATGGAAATGATTCCAGGCATTGAAGAATTGCAATGGGAGGAACCAGACTGTTTCCTTCCTTCGAGGTTTCTAAGATTGCCAATTGGCCATTTTAGTGATCCGACTTTAAGAAAAGATTGTGCTGGCTGCAATTCTCAGATTTCGACCATATCAAGACTTCCAACGAAAAACATATTCTGAGGATGAAAAATAGCTCCTTTGTTGATTAGGTTAAAGTTCAAATGAGTTATTTTTGACACTTGAGTTAAGGTCCCTGACAGACCAAGGTATATATATATATATGTTTTACAGATCCTAAAGATCTATCTTGTTATGAATATCAAAACTGGTGCAAACTGTTGAAAGTGATTTGAGATCAGTTTGATGATGTCTCTGTGCTGAAAACAGAAAATTCTTCTGTAGGATTTTGACAGCAACTTCTGGACGATTCTGACTGCAAACCTGCCTACTTCTGTTGAAATGTGGAGTCAATATCAAGAAGTACAACAGGGTTATGTTCTAATCTGTGTTCACAGGGGACTAAAGCTGCCATGAGTTGATTCAGTGTGTCCACCTTCATCGTCACACGTCGGCGTGTGATAGTGACAAGTTTGTGATAGAAATTGTCATACATATATATGTGCATGTTTCCTGGAAACAAGTTCTGATTCATCGTTAATGATAATTGCTTCGGTGAAGCAAAGTTAGTGTTATCATTCAACAAAGATTCAGAGTGACACTCTGGCATTTTAAAGTTTCTTCTTCTCCATATTCAGGGATTTTGGTTACTGTGACAATGAATTTTGTATATTTTATCATTTGGAAAGGTACCTCATAGTCTCATGTTATTTTTCTTTACAATAAACTATGATATTAGCGTGGAAATAAAAGTGGAGTTAATCGTAATGCATGTCGAACAAACCAAGAAGCAGCCCTTGAAGTAATCAGTCTAAATAAATACCTTGCAAATGTTGAATAGCAGTCCTCATGAACATGAAGCACTCCGGCAGATTGACTGCCACGAAAATTATTGGTTGATTTTTAGAATTTAGTTTGAGAAAATTACAAAATGATTATAAAATTTTGTTTCGCATCAATTAGTTTGTGTTTTGTTCAGAACTATATTTTGGTGCTTTTACAGAAAATTAACATCAATCCAAACATTTTCTTAAATTATGTTACCTTCTGTTGTTTGACTCCAGAAAAGAAATGAATGTGATGTAGCCTTATAAGATGAAATTGGCAAGATGTTTCTTTTTGCACTTAGTTTTCAAAATTTGCTTAACAAATCGTAAGGACGAAATACAAATTAAAATTTCATTTTTTTCGGATTGGGCATTTAAAAAAATATTTATAAAAGAAATGAAAAGCGGTATAATAATTATTCGAGAGGTTACTTTCCTGTCTGGTTTGACCAACTTTATTGGATTATTTTTTCATATTCCAAAACAAATTTACACACTAGGTGAAAAGGCACATTTCATTTTTTAGATATTTGAGGCTGTGGATCCGTAGATTAGGTATTTGAAAACAATCTGCCCAAGTAATAACCACATCCAGGATAATAGTATTTGCAAAGCATTCTGCAATACTTGGTGTAAAAATATTAAGTATTGGTATTTTAAACATCATTTTCTGCAATATTTTTTACCTGTCAACACTAGGATACATCGGTTTCATCAACTATGATATTAGAACGTACCTTCTCACATTGAGCAATTTTGTTTTGTTCCTTTTCTTTTTTCTATGTTACATTTCTATTATTATTTTATTGTTAGTTTAGTTTAGTTTACAATCAGTTTGAGGAATTGACATCAGCTTCCTTTTATTTAGGAGTTGAAACAAGACTGCCAATACATTTTTTTACCATCAAAGTAACATTAGATTTGTGTTTATGTAAATGTTTCATTGCCCTGATCTGTTCAGTGGCATCTGTTCCCAACCAGAAATTATCATGTGATTGTTTCATTATTTTATTTCTTTTGATCTTTATAGTTAATATTCCATGCTTAATTTCTGCAGTATCGGTAATATAAATCAAGAATCATTTTATGCAATTTTACTACTCATGTAATTTTACTATTAGAATTAAGTGTCGAAAGTCTCTTCAATTTTACTTTTAGAAGCATCAAAAATTGTTTTACTCTATCTTAGAAATGTTTATAAGTGACACATTTTAATGGCAATGTTTATAATTTATTTCTTTTCTTGGAAGTACATTTTTACTCTTTAGTTTATATTCTTTTAATTTAAATGTTATTGTAAAAATTCCAAACGTGCTGGTGTCTATTGAGCTACATGACAAATATTTACTTTCAAAAACTGCATCATGGCTCACATGTCAAATTTGTTCAAGAATTATTTTATTGGCTGATTTAGTTAAGAATTCAATACTTTTATTCACATGAACAATTCATCTCCTTTGACCAAATAATTGATTTAAGAAAATCATATTAAAATCAGATCCTTTACTCGGGTGTGATAGTCTCCAGAGGAGGTCATGTCAGGTGAACCTTCTGATCAGCCAGACAGCATCCAGGCTTCTGAGTTCTTGGTACGAGGGAAAGAAGCATCCAGCCTCCTAAGTTCTTGGAGGTGCGGTCGGGTAGCCTAGTGGTAAAGCGTTCGCTCGTCACGCTGAAGACCCGGGTTCGATTCCCGACATAGGTACAATGTGTGAAGCCAATTTCTGGTGCCCCCCGCCGTGATATTGCTGGAATATTGCTAATAGCGGCGTAAAACTCACTCACTCACTCTAAGTTCTTGGTACGAGGGAGAGAAGCATTCAGGCCAGAATATCTGAGTTCTGTATCTTAAAAACTAAAACGATAAAATTGGATGGTAGTTAAAAAAGGCAGTGCCATATTATTGCTGTGGACATTGTATTCACCCGGCCATTTCTAAGTGCCATGGCATCTACCCTTACAAGGGAGTACCATCGCAGGGATATTTGTCTTCTCTTTGAGTTTTTGTTTGTACAAATCAAAATTTCCAAAAGTGCATGCAGGCCGCTATGTTAGTGCAACAATATTGAACGCGACGTTAAACCCCATTTCACTTCACCTCATTTAGGTTGGGTGATCAAAGTTCAATAAAGGTTCATCTGACGCAACCTCTTATGGAGGCGTATTCAGATCTTTAAGCAGAGGAATTGTGTCCGAGTAAAATATCTGATTTTAATAGCATTGGATTTTATTAGGATACAGTCTGTTCTGTAAGTGCCATAAATGTTTTATGTGACAATGTCCAGACCTACTGGCACCAGTGGAACGCAAGTCTCTCGTTTGATGGCTATGTTATTTTGAACTTGGGAGTCTATCTCTAAGAACATAGATTTATGTATTTGTACAAACAAGAAGAAATAGAATTAAAAACTAGATGGTCCTGGTTATGAAAGAAGTTGGTGCATTGGACTAAGTATTTCAAGTGTATATGTGTGGAAGTGCGAACATGTGTAAAGTTTCTGTGACAACGGGTAAGTGTGATCCCACAGTTTGTCTGCCCAAACATTATGTATTATATAGTTCAGTGTGTACACGGGCACTGAGCCATTGTAAATTTTAATATCCTAAATATACATATCCATCTTTCAGCTGCTCTGAGGTTTCAAATTGTATAAATACCTTTTCTAGATTTGCTTTCAGTACGAGAACATATAATTTGTAGGATTGTGGAGAGGTTCTGATTAAAGATAGATAGAAAATTTTATATTGAACAAAAATAATTGGGATGCACCTCCATTAAAAAATTAAGGCAGGTGAACCAAAATGTATCACAACTATATGGAGGGGTGTAAAATATGATGCAGTCCAAAGACCAATCTCTGACCCCCATGTCCCTTTTAATATTAAAAATGACCATTTCCTAAACATGATATGAAGTAAAAAAAATAATACAAAATTGTAAAGTCCTGGGAAGAAAAATATGTTGTGTTCTCAAAATTAGGCTCCTCTCTGAAAAGGTACTGAAAGGTTTGAGAGAAAAAAATTAAATTGGTCTCAGAACAAAAATGCTGGCAACACTTCACCTCCCCAGAACAAAATGCCAGCAACCCTCCACCCCCAGAAAGAAATGGTCAATCTCAAAGTGAACAATCCCTACACAATGTTTTAATTTTCTTATTGAGATTTTTGTTATATCATCATTGTTCTTTCATATTGTTAAATATATATTTATTAGTTTCATCTGAAACATTTTCCATCATTTGAAGCGCAGAACTAGACATCATTATTGAAAAGGACAAAAATGTAATACCTTTTTATATTTACAGACAGATTTTTGTACCGCTGATCTGATATATGTCAATAGAAGAGAACCTGGTTTATGATAGATTTTATCATCTACAAACTTCATTAACAAGAAAGAAATACAGACATGCTGACTGATCAGTCTTGTAAGGTCAGGGTGACCTGATTGGTGCATAGTGAAATAAATGGGAACTGTCAATAAGTATGTTTTTTTATGTTTTTGTGTGTGTGCCAGTTGTGTGCTCACCTGCTCCTAGATGACCTGATTTTCACAAAAATTCAACATTTCTTGGTCCAGTTATTATTGCATCACACTTCCATGCTGTTGTTCCTACACTGACACCAGACCACACATAACAGTGAAGGATGCAGGACACTTCCATGCTGTTGTTCCTACACTAACACCAGAACACACATAACAGTGAAGGATGCAGGACACTTCCATGCTGTTGTTCATACACCGACACCAGACCACACATAACAGTGAAGGATGCAGGACACTTCCATGGTGTTGTTCCTACACCGACACCAGACCACACATAACAGTGAAGGATGCAGGACACTTCCATGCTGTTGTTCCCTTACTGACAGGGGTTACGGGTGGCCCAGTCGTCTAAGGTGCGGCTATTCGCTGTGCAGAATTGCCTACCTTGGGCACGCCAGAAACCTATGATTGTGGGTTCGCCCCGATTATGTTTCTATGTTTGTCAGCACCATACCCGTGCTCATAGGTTTCAGCATAAACGTCTGAGACCTGCATCACTTCGGGCTTCCTCCCACATTAAGCTGACAAGCCGCGATATAACTGGAATACTGTTAAGAGCGGTGTTAAACCCAACTCGCTCACTTTATACAATTACATCTCCACTGTCAATTTATCACGTCAAACATGAGTAACAGATAATTTCAGCGCTGACAGACCCATGGCATCAGCTGTTTGAGAATATCAAAGAAGTAAGGCGATCGGGGCATCGGGCACTTTAAATCCTGCGTACAGTCATTTGCATTGACAATAAAAATATGTTTCAAATTTCCAGTGTCTAGTGAAGCAGACTTATCCCTGCTTGACAGCTGACATTGTATTAAGGATTAAGTACCAAGGCCAGAGTGTATCTGGCTGTGTTGCTGGTGTGCTTGGTGGGGACAAAATACAAAATGTTACTCCCTCATCACTTATGTTTTCTATAACAAATAAAAGTTTACTTGCCCTTGCATGTGTTCTTGATGGACTCCACCGGTGGGCAGGGCACACTCACCTTTCCGCGAACACCTGGTTTCATAACTTTTGATAGTGATATATATGGGGAGGTGGGGTAGCCTAGTGGTTAAAACGTTCGCTCGTCACGCTGAACGGGTTCGATTCCTCACATGGGTACAATGTGTGAAGCCCATTTCTGGTGTCCCCTGCCGTGATATTGCTGGAATATTGCTAAAAGAGACGTAAAACCTTACCCACTCACTCACTCACTCATAAAAACTTGCTCGTGATATAGTCGGAATCGTACATTCGAGTGAATATGTAAAGGGTTTTGTCCCATTTTAAAAATTATTATTCTTATTTACAGATTAAAATATAAAATGCAGCAAAGAGGGTTTGGGTTATTCTGACACAGTCAGGCAGGTTAGGCTCATCATCAGCTCAGGCCCTTGCCCTCAAACCCTCCGAGAACTTTTCCGAGAATGTGAAGACTCCCAAACACTGCTTCCTTCTGCATTACACAGATTGTCAGAAGGGCTGTATTCCTGGTAGCAAACACGGGTACTCTCCCGATGTCAGTCAACAGATTGGGAGGTACCAAACCTATGGCACCGAGAACAACGGGGAGTCGGACAACTTGCTACTTGGGATGCAAGCGTGACATTTCGAAAGTGTGGTCATCATGTTTGCCATGATTTTCCTGCATCTAGTCAGTCAATCACATTAGTGTCAAAAGGGACAGAATATTCAATAATATAAATGATTTCATTGGATTTATCAAAAGGGACTTGATCGGGTTTGTTTGCCTGCATAGGTCCTAGGCTGTATACGGGCCTATTCCAAAGAACATTGTATTTATCATTTTCCCTGACGCTCTCTTCATATTCTGAGTCATACTATGGATGGACCTCTGTGCCAACCCCACAAACATGGCGAAGACGGTAATAAAAGGATCGAGCCTCTCCATCATGTCGCTTAAGATACTGTGTTTGTGCCAAAGCTGGCACGAATACAAGGATAACACTCATCATATCGTCTTGTCCATGCAAGTAACACTCTCAAACCCTGAGACCCGTGAAGATCCGGGGTAGAATAGGTCTTCAGCAACACACGCTTGCCGTAAAAGGCGACTATGCATGTCGTGAAAGGCGACTAACGGGATCGAAACTCAAACCCCCAAGGAGCGTCTATGTCTGATTCACAGAGTGCGCCAAGAAAATTAACGCGAGGGAACGCAATAGCATTATGAACATTATGGCGAGGAACGCGATAGCACACGAGACATCGCTATACATACTTTCACCATGGCAGAAAGAAAGGTTCCATACAAAAGGGAGTAATGAGGTTGCGCCTGTGTTCTGTGACGGTTTCTTTTGTTCAAATCGAAACTTCCGAATTGAGGTGGTAAAGAATGAAGCTGAATCGTTTCAGAGACCTCACATCTGATTGGCTATTAAGTACCCATGCATCCTTGGAGATGGCGAGAGTGGTGGTGTATCGGATTTCAACTAATATTTTCTCTTTATGTGACGTTTGTGTACATGTGTTGGTACCTTTATAAAACAGGTTTGACAACCTCAAGGTACCAGCACATGCCCCCAACCGTCGCCTTGACAAAAAAGAAGTTGAAATCCATAGATTAACTCTGCCTTATTGATTAAACAGTTTCAGTAACGCCACTTATAGGGTTTGCCTTTAAACCGAATAACCCACTCACAAACAGCATTTCAATTAGTATAAATACGTTATCAAGCTCTGTTGACTTGGTTTGTGTTTCATTTTTTGTGTTTCATAGGCATCAACGCATCTTCGGGTTTAACGTCGCATGGCCCTGAGTGATCAAATTGTATCGGTGTTTCGAGAGAATGATCTCTTGGAGTGGGGAGGGACGAAGGACAAGCTTCATTCCTTGATTCATGGGGTGAAGTTCAACGTTCCAAATATCAGCTTTATCTTTAGGCCGAGCATTATTCCAACAGCTCCAGATCCTCGAAGACCCGGGGTAGAAAAAGTCTTCAGCAACCCATGCTTGCCGTAAAAGGCGACTAACGGAATTCGGTGGCCAGGTTCGCTGACTTGGTTGATGCATGTCATCGATCCCAATTGCGTGGATCGATGTTCATGATGTAAATCACTGGAATGTGTGGCCCAGACTCGATTATTTACAGACCGCCGTCATCATATAGTTGGAATATTGCTGAGTGCGGCGTAAAACAACAAACCAAACCAAAAACACCAACAGCTCCATCCATGTTTGCAGTTTACAACTCTTCTGGAACTACCGAGCATGTGTTTTCTGTGAAGATTTCAAAGACGGTCAAACGATTTAAAGGTTGTTTGATCAGGGTTACAACATTCAAGGCCTTAGTAACATTATATATTAGACACGTGGAGGACATTTCCAAATATCGGTGACAAAAATTGTGTCCCGATGACATTCCCTACTTTCACTTGTACCATATGTTCCCGTGCTTTTTAGTTGAACTGACTTGACTTTGCATGTGTTTGTGATGGGTCCACCTATGATACGCCTAACCTTTCCCGAACACCCGATATCATCACTATGTGATAATAGATTCATAAACACATGCATACTATATAGTCGGATTCGGACAGTGATAAACACACACACGAGAGACAGTGAGAAGTGTGCATGCGAAGTGTTTGTGTGTTTGTTTGTTTGTTCTTTAACGCCACACTCAGCAATATTCCAGCTATATGATGGCGGTCTGTAAAATAACCGAGTCTGGACCAGACAATCCAGTGATAGACATCATGAGCATCGATCCACGCAATAGGGATCGATGACATGTATCAACCAAGTCAGCGAGCCTGACCACCCGATCCCGTTAGACGCCTTTTACGACAAGCAAAGTCGCCTTTTACGGCAAGCATGGGTTGCTTAAGACCTATTCTACCCCGGAATCTTCACGGGTCACATGCGAAGTGACCCAAATGAATGTCAATTAGTGATCTGGTCCAAATGGACACCCCTGTTGATATGTTGGCTGGTTTGTTTGTTGTTTAACGCCGCACTCACCAGTATTACAGCTATATGACGTCGGTCTGTAAATAGTCGAGTCTGGACCAGACAATCCAGTGATATGTAATAACCTGAAGTTGTGGAAGATAAACAACTGAATCAATACAGTTAATATAATTATCTTTAACGTCTATTGGTATGACGCGGCAGGGGATCGAACAACCTACCTTCTGCTCTCTGGGCAGACGCACTATCCACGACACCACAGAGGCGGTACATCCAGGTTAGGGAAAGATGAAAGTAGTAACAATGGACCAATGGACCCTGTTCTGCTTATTACAAACGTCACTGCATAATTCACTGTCAAACGATGTCAGATGATGGGAACATCAAAGAGGGCATTTTTCTTCCAGTTTGTTGAACATAGAGCTATATATCTCTATTCATCTATTTCATGGCGCAAATACTGATGGAAGTAATGATGAAAGGAACAGAATTCAAATGCCTTCATTGAAACTTTTAAAAAGATGCTCTTTGTTCTTCTCGTCCTTAAACCACTTTTTAACGTTTAAATATTCGCCTAATTATATATGCGTGTGTTGTTGTAGCAACAACAAAACCATAGCACCTTGTTCAAAGAACTATGACAGTGAATATTATCGTTGGGTTAGGCATATGGCAGCCCGATGTTTTGTGATAACACCAGTCCTCCATCTGGTGTAGTCGACTTTATAGAATGTCAGTCAATACACAGAATTACATCAATATATAATTGCTGACAACCGGTTTGTATGTAAAGGAAACATTGTGCAATACGGAGGGAAAATAAAAAATCTAGTTTCAACATGAGATTAATTCTGCCTACTGCAGACCAAACTGTTCTCCCCATTTGTCAGGTTGCAATGGGGATTCAAACCTCATCGGTAGATATGGCTCTTTGAACGAAATCAGAACTGTTTCACCGAACAAATTTCAATCTGCAAATTTATGAATTGATGAACACTTGCGCACACACGCAAACAAAAGCGACACATCCCTTTCCATAATCATATTACTCTTCCTCAATAGTTGTTTGAATCGGGATACAACATTCAAGGCCTTAGAAAAGCTTTCAAATTGTTTTATGGTAGACATCTGGAGGACATTTCCAAATATACATCAGTGACCATAATGATATCTACTGCAATTCACTAGTTTGACCTGTGCTATATGTTTCTGTGTTTTTTCAGGTGACGATGAACTTGCCTCTACAAGTTCTTATGACGGGTGCCACAAGTGGAGCAGGATACGCCCACCTGATCTGTTCATAATATGATAGTGATTCACAAACACCTGCTTATGATGTTGTATGCATCTGCAATGGTTATGTCGCCTTTGATTACTATACACCTCTGGCATCGGTGAAGCATTTATTTTGATACCATTGACTGTGATCGAACAGTATCCATTGATGCATACTTGTTCTGTGCGTCAGAATGAAAGAACATATTTTTTCCGCAAACGTCTCTCATTTGCTTTTACAAAAAGAAAATCATCCTAATTGGTATCAATAATTCCTTTTCATTTATACAAACCGTCTGTGTGAGTCGCTGAGTTGTTTTGCTACACGAGAATGCTTAAAATACGACGACTGAAGTCGCTGAGACTCCATACCGCTTTCAGCCTTGAAGAGAAACACTTTGAAAATGGGGTTAGCAATAGTCGTTGTGCTCCATGGGATGTTTCTGGCCTCCCTACCACCCGGCGTCCCCGTCTCGTCAAGAGGGGAATGTGTGTACAGATGTTACTATCAGAAGGACTGTTCCTCCCTCTTCTACGATGTTAGCACCAACCTGTGCCAGCTGTCTACTGAAGTGTACCTTGAACGCGACTTGACGAACACACCAACCAACATGCAGTACCTTGTATGGAGAAGAGGTATGTTCACGACTTTCTTAGTTCTTATTTTGGAAGCCTGCTTCTATTAGGACATGTTCACAAGTTAAGGTTTCAAATTAAGAGAGGGGGGTTCAAATATGGGTGGGTCAACTGCAGCTAATGATTTCTGCCAATACATAATATTATATTACTCATTTAGTAAATACTCAATTCTGATTGGTAGCCCAGCAGTTTCAAATATCAAAAAACGTATCTCTGACTAAATATTTCTATGGTTACCGAATTGCAAGTTTCATTTTTGTTTCATTCCAAAACCCTTTCCATACGCCAAAGAATACCTTCCAAACGCAGAGTCAATTGTACGATCCCGACTCAATATGTGTTTATGAATTACTATTCGCGAATAGTCGAGAGTGTCTTGCCCCACCGGGAATTGCCTCGGACATAATTTTTGTCACTGATGCGTCAAATTAGGAAATGTCCTCCACATCTCCACCATGAATCTTTTATAAAGCTTTACTGAGACCTTGAATGTTGTTGCCTTGATCAAACAACTTCTGAGCAGGAGCCTTGTGACATTCACCATAACAAACCACACCATAGAAGCTGAAGTGGTTGTTTTGTTCCTTTCTTCTACGGGCGTTAATATTTCAAAGCATTAAGAACTCACACTGTGAGTGTACATGTGCAGCGGGCCGTTGCAATGAAGTCGTCGTCATGGTTATATCAGCACAAGTCTTTTTGTGATCTCCGGTTCCAGCGGGCCGTTGCAATGATGCGTCGTCATGGTTATATCAGCACAAGTCTTTTTGTGATCTCCGGTTCCAGCGGGCCGTTGCAATGATGCGTCGTCATGGTTATATCAGCACAAATCTTTTGTGATCTCCGGTTCTTATAACATTCTGTGTAAGAGAAGATAATGAACAGTCGATCAGCTGTATCGAGGTACGCTGACAAATTGTAGTTTAATTAATGCAGGCAAACTCGCGACTTCCTTGCTGAAACTAAGCTGTATTTCATCAACAAATCTCTGAAATACAAAGGCGTTAAACCCTTGCAGAAGAAAAGATGTATGTGATATATTCATTACAGCGAGAGGGCATGGGTGGCCCAGTCGTCTAAGGCGCCGCGACTCGCTGTGCAGAGTTGCGTCCCTTGGGCACGCCAGAAACCTATGATTGTGGGTTCGAATCCCTGTTCGCCCCGATTATGTTTCCAGGTTTGTCAGCACCATACCCATGCTCGTGGGTCACACCAAAGTGGTAAACGTCTGGGACCTGCATCACTTCGGGCTTTCCTCCCACATTAAGCTGATACGCCGCGATATAACTGGAATACTGTTAAAAGCGGCGTTAAACCCAACTCACTCACTCACTCACTCATGACAGCGAACATGTATCGGAAACGTGTACGTCATAGTGTTTCTATTTAACTGATTTCGTCTGTTGTTTATTCTCCGCAAGAAAAGTTAAGAGCCCCTGTTTGATGTTTTTTCATAAAGGGAAAATGATAGCATATGTTAAACTATCTGTTATATTATATTTATTGCAGACATTTACATGCATTTGCAACCTTTGATAGAGAATAGCACAATTCTCGTGCATGTTTGTGTATTTTTGTGAAAGCTGACTACAGTAAGCAGGCACAACCTTGTCGTCTCTCAAGATATATTTGGAGCCGAGTCACTTTTGGTTTAAGGAGGAATAGGATTGAGGAGAATGGAACTTTGGTTGGCGTTACATATTGTGATATGATCCTTCATCCCACGTTTTCCAACAGAGTTTTGCTGATCCACTGTAGGTCGGCTGCTCGAGCCATGTTGCATGCCTAATCAGGAAAATTATATTCATTGGGATTCAGTGTGTTATCTGGTTGTAGTATTGTTATCGACAGTAGATTTCATTATAAGTGACAGCCATTTGACTGAAGTGCTCGTACAATATCGAGTTGTGATGTTGTCCTTGACAGGTATTGATTCAGAGTGGTCGCGCTCAGTTGGGATTGTTTTAGTGAAATATGATACCTTCGTTACCTTTCCGGTGTAGAGAGTCCCCCTCCCCTCGTGACATAACTGGAATACTGTTCAAAGCGGCGTTAAGCAAAACCTAATTTCTAATCAACGCAAGTCTCGTTACCTCTTCTCTATGTAGGAATTCATTTTTGTAATCATGACAGTACATTATTCTCCTTTAGATGACTGTGGCAATGACTACACGTGGTACCGTACTCTTGGCCTCTGCTACAAGATCTACACCTCCATAAAAACCTGGTTCAAAGTCAACACTACATGTCATCAAGACGGCGGATACCCTGTCAAAGTGGACAGTGCTGGCATCAACGCACTTGTGAACAAGATATCTGATTCTTATTGTAAGTTGTAATGGGCCAAGCGCTCACCATCTTAACACATCATTCAAACACATATATCTCAAGTTCGTAAAGAAAATGAAGAAACTGTAGATCAATTGGTTTGACCATTGGTTACAAAAGCAAATTTTCTTTAAAATTTGAAACAAAAAATAATTCATTTTGATATATTCAACTATATTTATGATATGAATATAAAACAGCGAGTGTAAATGTATTTTGTACTTGTCTTTTCTCCTTTAGTTTCAAGCTGTACATACAAATGTATCTACGTTTGTGTTTACAGCTGCCAGAATATGGCTGGGTGGTTTTCAAGTTGAAAAGCTCAGTGGAATTTGGACATGGCCTGATGGAAGTGTAATCACTCCCGCCTTCTGGGACGAAACCAGTAACCAGCCAGACCGAGGTATATCAGATCAGTGTATTCTGGTACAATCAGGTTCTGGGACATCCAGGAGGTGGCATGATGCCCCATGTACATGGGCCGCTCTGATGTTCGTGTGTCAGCGTCCTCTGAAGGAAGAGCTTTACTGCTGGCAATAGGTGAAAAGAAGACTCATATGAAACAGATATGAACAAACTACAGTTACATGCACGAGTGAAACCGGTTTGAATTTGTAAAATGTGTTTGCAATGATGAGTGTCTATTGTTTTGCAAGTAATGTTACTGTATATTCCTGTTTGGGTGTCAGTCAGTGCACAAGTTACACTGAATGCAACAAGGATATGTACATGTACATATGAACATTTAATACACGATTTCTAAATTCTCTTAACATGGAGATTTGAATTTTTTTCATTCTATAATCTTGTGTGGAATGTGTCGTGCAGCTCCAAGACGTTTACTGCTTTGTTCAATTCAAATCAATTCTTTATTGTATGAAAGGCCACAGGCCAATATACAACAGAGTTACTTAACATATTTTATAAAATACAAAGTCAAGGTAACCATTCACTTCGTAACAAAAAAAGCATTATGTATGTACAAAGCCAGTTGATATTGTGTTATTGTGTTGTTGTGCTTTGTTGGAACAAAAATAAAGTTTGAAATAAATTGATGTTTGAGACTTTTACTTTTCTCTCATATTTTGCAAAGATTGCGTCTGGATTTGAGCTAAACCAATTTAGTCTTCATTATCTATATCCACATCAACGAAGCATAGCAACAGTCTTCTTAAGCTGATGTGCCCATCAGCCGCACACGCCAAACAAATTATCATTTAACTGTTAGGAGCGTGGGGTATTTTCCGAAATAGTGGCTTTATACAGATAAAGATCATTCTGTGAAGAGTGAGTTGACTAAGCATAATCTATAAAAACTGCTGAGGTTATGAAGAAACTTCAGCCCACCAGCAGAAACACCGACCCAGTAAATATAAAACGTCAAGGCCAGAGAATTAAAAAAAAAGTGGTGAAAAATAAATGAATGGATTGCTGAAAATCTGTGGTGACACCAGAGTAGGTATGTCAGACATCAGACACCATTTTGGGCACTGAGAACTGTCCTCCGCGTGTCTACCATAAAACATTTGGAAAGCTTTAAAAGGACCTTGAATGTTGTAACCCTGATCGAAGAACTTTTGAGCAAGAGCGACAAGATCAAAAGTTGTGAAATGTAGTCACCAAAGGATGTACGAAATCTTAATGTTTGGTACTCGCCATCCACCTTCATAGTGATAATAATAGGTTATCCACTTCATCGGGGTGAGTGAGTTGGGTTTTACGACGCTTTTAACAGTATTCTAGTTATAGCACGGCGTGTCAGCTTAATGTGGGAGGAAAGCCCGAAGTGATGCAGGTCTCAGACCTTTACCACTTCGGTGAAAGCCACGAGCACGGGTATGGTGCTGACAAACCTGGAAACATAATCGGGGCAAACTGGATGGGATGGATTCCGTCCACGTGAATCATGGTCGGCGTCATCAACCTCTTCTGGAAATGTATTCCGTCCATGGAAGTCATGGTCAGCGTCATCAACCTCTTCTCCATCTATGACAGAAATATCGTCTCCCAAGTCTGGTGCCTGTTCTGTCTCATCTTCAGCTGGCCTGTCAGCTGCATCGTCAGCAGACACTGAAGTACGTCGTGAAGGATATTCATAGATGACCGACTCATCTCAATTTTCATCCTCATCAGATGTAACAGGATCCGGTTCAAGTTTAGGTGAAGTTTTCCTCTGTTTAATAGGCTTTGGAACTGGTATAGGTTTTTCAGTGGCTGGCCCTGGTTCAGGTGAAGTTATCCTAGGTTTTCTATGCTTTGGAACAGGTATTTCTTGAAGTGGAAGGGACCCAACTGGCAGCAGGAGATTCCGATGTAGTGTCTTCTTCTTCCCCTCCCCATTCTCCTTACCAACAACATACACTGGTATGGAAGGGGTAGGTGGATCGAAAACGACATAGACATCTTCTTCCCATTTATCCGCCAGTTTGTGTCTTCCATCGAAAGCAACGATCTTCACCAGAACTCTGTCCCCAGGCTCTACTGTTGCAGCTCTGGATCTATGATCATAATAGGTCTTCTGTTTAGACTGTGCCTTTCTTGCTGATGATGAAGCTACGTCGTAGGCGCGTTTTAGACGTTCCTTTTGAGATCTGGTATAATCCAACCTTGTTCCAGGATCGATATCAAGTCCGAATGCGAGGTCAACTGGCAACTGAGGAGGTCTCCCAAACATCAAGAAGAATGGAGATAGTGATGTTGTCTCACGGCGGGTACAGTTGTACGCATGGACTAATGGACCTACATATGCCTTCCAATTCTTCTTGCTGTCTGGATCCAAAGTACCAAGCATGTTGCAAAGTGTGCGATTAAACCGTTCACACATTCCGTTGCCCATAGGATGGTAAGGGGTGGTACATGACTTGTCGATTTTTAACATTTGGCATCACTCTGACATCAGCTTCCCAACAAAGTTGGCACCTTGGTCTGAATGAATCCTCCTTGGTAATCTGTAGTGCACAACAAAATTGTTGAAGAAAGCTTCAGCTGTGGTCTTTGCTGTCATATTCTTGGTTGGATATGCCTGAGCGTAGCGTGTGAAATGATCAGTGATTACCAGAACATATTGTTGTCCACCTTTGGAAGGTTCCAAACTAAGATAATCCATACACACTAACTCGAGTGGCTGTGATGTCTGAACGTTTACTAGTGGAGCACGGCTTGTAGTAGCTGTCTTTCGTCACAGACATCGTGCACACTTCTGCAAATGGAGTTCGACGTCCTTGGTCATTCCTGGCCAGGAGAACCTATGCCGTAATAGGTAAATTGTTCTGTCTCTGCCAGGTTGGCCAATGTTGTCATGTAGACTATGCAGAGCTGCTGCCCGACATCTAGACGGAAGAATCAGTGGCTCCTGCTCAGCCCCATCCACACTGATCACTCTGTATAGCACTCCTCTCTTCAGCCTGAAATGATTGAAATTCTTCAGTAATGCAATCATCTCCTTGAAGCGAGATTGATCTGGTCTAGTTCTGTTTGTGAGATGTTGAATGATTTCAACTAGGGCAGAGTCCTTGGCTTGATATTTCCTCCAGTCCCTTGCGTTCATATCACATCTGTCCTCTGTCTCCTCTTCATCTCCAACTATAGAAGCTGCGAGACACAAACTCTCCACTAAGCTGGTAGTATGAATGGCTCTACAAATGGCATTAACAGAGTCGGAAGGAATATGTTTCATCTGTTTTGATCCATTCCAACCGGGTAAACGAGACAGCGTTTCTGCATCAGTATTGGCTGAACCTGGTCTATACCTTATGCTGAAGTTGTAACTTGCAAGGGCTGCAAGCCATCAATGTCCTGTTGCATCTAGACGAGCAGTAGTCAGGACATAGGTGAGAGGATTGTTATCTGTCACTACTTCAAAGTGATGTCCGTACAGGTAGTAATGGATTTCTCAGAGACTGACCATTTGAGACATAGAAACTCAAGTTTATGCGCCAAATAGTTTCTTTCAGAAGGAGTTAAACTCCGGCTTGCATACACAATGACACGCAGATGGTCCTCTTGTCGTTGATATAAAACAGCTCCTTAACCCTGTGTGGAAGCATCAGTGTGCAATTCAAAAGGCTTTGAATAATAGGCATAACCAAGCACCGGTGGTGTAGTAAGTCTTGTCTTCAGGGTCTTAAAAGAATCCTCTTGGACAGGTCCACAATTCCAATCAACCTTCTTAGTTTGTTGACGTGACTTCTTGGATCCAGTCCATAAGCTCTGACAATGGTCTTGCAATTTTTTAGAAATCTTTGACAAACTTTCTGTAGTAGCCAGCGAATCCCAAGAAGCGTCGGACATCCTCTGGAGTTGTTGGTGTTGGCCAGTCTTTAATCTTTTCTACTCTCTCTGGGTCAGCCTCAATACCATCCTCAGAGACAATATATCCAACATATCGGACTTTGCGCTTAAAGAACTTGCACTTCTTCGGAGCAAGTTTAAGTCCACACTGCTCAAGTCTCCGGAAGACCAATTCCAACCGTTCTACATGCTATTCATATGTCCTTGAGAATATGATGAGGTCGTCCACGTAAATTAAACAGATCTTGAGATGTAGGCCTTCTAGACACTGTTCCTTTAATCTTTGATTGGCTGGTGCATCCGGTTATATTCGAAAAATCCGAGTGGACCGACGGTAAATGTTGTCCTCTGTTTGTGTGCCTCCTCAAGTTCAACCTGATGATATCCACTTTTCATACCCAGCACAGAGAAGTATTTCATCCCACCCAAACAGTCTAACAGTTCTTCAATGCGTGGTAAAGCATAGGAATCCTTAATTGTCCGATTATTAAGCTGGCGAAAATCGATGCACATCCTCAGGCGGCCATCCGTCCTCCTTGCTAAAACAACATTAGATGCCCAAGGACTATGCGAAGGTCTGATGACTCCTGCTGATAGAAGTTCCTGTCGATGTGTTCTGACTTCCTCGTACATGCCTCTGCTTGAAAGGAGTGGAATTCTCAAGATCTATTCGATGATGAACTAAGTCAGAGTGTCCAAGATCTTCATCATGCTTAGATCCTATCAATCCTCCAGGTACCCGCTTATCCTTAGGGCTCCTAAGTAAACCTATAGGTGGCCCTTCCCCATAGGCCTGGGCAAGTTTAAAGGGTGTCGTAGGTGATCTAGTCTTACTCGACATCACGTGTGATATAGCCAAGATATCCACACCTGTAGCAACTAGGTGGACCTTGCACTTGTGTGCATCTGCTTGGATATGAACCAGGTTCATAAGTGACATCTCGTCTTGGCTGCTGTTGATCACCTTCAACCTGTGTAAAAGGTCCAAAAGCAGACTGAGGTGGAAAGTACCTGTCCTGTGGTGAAGGGCTATAACTTGGATGGGCATCTTTCCGCTGTGGCTTGGTCATGTTTCCTTGATGTCTATCTGGCTGACTATGAAGTCTCTGAGGTATGGAAGGGTTGTTGTAAACTTGTTGGTTTACTTGTGCTTGAGCCTGACTCTGCTCCTTCAACTCGGATATCTCTTTCCGGATCTCCTCCATCATGACTTTGAGATCTGTGACTTCCTCCCTAGTTGCTGCAGCACCAGATGAGTTCGAAGTGTTAACCATCTTAATAATCTGTGGCTGACTGCTTCTTTGTTGGTATTCCAGACTTGTCTCTCTTTAAGTCAAACTCTATCTCTCTCAAACAAAGTCGTAGGGCATCGAAGTTGTTGATGGCATCAAACCTATGAGCAGCAACACCCTTCAGTCCAGACTTCAGTCCATCCCACATACGAGTCCTCAACATCTCACCCTGTTCTTCCTCTGGAATAGGGTTGTGCTCCGTTATCTGGTATAACATATTCTCAAGCCTACAACCCCATGTGGTGACATCTTCATCCTCTCTTTGAACACAACTATAAAAGTCAGACATGAGAGTAGCTCTCCTCCGTAATGTTCCAAAGGCACTCTTCATCATGGATAACAGGTTGTCAACTGTAGCATTCCTTCCAAGTTTCATGGCAATAA